GCTTGTTCACAACAAAAAAACATTTTTACACACTAACACTTCCATTTCAAAAACATTTTCAAAAAGATAAAACATTTTGTATACGTTCTTATAGAGATGAGAACCATTGCAAAATATCTTTCCGAAAACCACTTTCCAAAACAAAATCCACAAACACATCTTTGGACTATCTTTCGAAACAAAACTTTGTACCCGTTCTTATAGAAACGAGAACCATTACAAAGAGATTTTTTCAAAACACTTTCAAAGCCCACACCACAAGCACATTGTCAAAACAAAAGAAAGTGATCTAGCGAGTAACTAAGAGCCCATGGAAAACCATGGATGAAAAGGGTGCTAACACCTTCCCTTTTCATAATCTACCCCCGAACTCAAGAAAACATCTCTAAAGGTATTTCTTGTGTTTTTTCACCTTTCCTTTTGGATAAAAGAAAAGTCGGTGGTGACTCTTGCTAAACCACAACATTTGCAAACACAAACGCAAAACATCCAAGTCAGTTCTCCCACCGTATCACAGTGTGGAAGAAGATTGTGTGGAGACGTTGTTCCAAGTCTTGGAAGTGACTACAATGGTTAGCCTACCAGTGGAGAAAATCATAAAACCTGGAACCTCTATGGCATCATGGAGAGACTTGAAAATAGATGTGGAGGATTGAACATTTAAAGGTTGGGGAAAATTGTGGAGATACCTGAGAAGAAAGATCGTTTTGGTTTGGGCTATCAACCGTCGAAGACTACTAAGAAAGGCAAAGGGAAATTTCCTCCCATCCAGGAAACCTTCATCAACAAAGGAGTAGAGCATGGTGGATAAGTGTCAACGTTATCTAACAAAAGAGACAACGAAGGAGTATCTAACTTCATCTGAGAATGTGCCCCACGCGAAGAACTCAAAAATTGGACAGCTGTGGAGATTCCATAGACATTTTTCTTTACAATATCCATGAATCATGATGCCACCTGTTCCTGGAAGACCACTTATCATGTAATTAATAGTACTTGGAGTATCTATGGGATGTGTATTGGCGCATCAAGATAAAACAGGTAGAAAAGATCACGCCATCTACTACTTAAGCAATAAATTTAGTGACTGTGCAACCCAATACTCACTCCTCGAGAATACTTTTTGTGCTCTGCCTTGGGCTGCTAAATGATAGAGACAATATATGTTAACTCACACCATGTTGTTAATAGAAAGAATGAATCCTTTGAAGTATGTGTTTGAAAATCTAGCTCTTACAGGAAGAATTGCTCAATGGCAGGTGTTGTTATCTGAATATGACATCCAATATGTTACTCAAAAGGCCATCAAAGGCAGTGTGTTTCCTGATCACCTGGCTCATAAACCATTGGCAGAATATCAACCAATGAAGTTTGACTTTCCAGACGAATACATCATGGTTATAGGTGACTATGAAATACCAGGACCTGACGAAGGACCTGAACCAGGGGCACGATGGATACTCGTGTTTGATGGTGCTTCTAACACACTAGGACATGGTATTGGGGTTGTGTTGACTTCTCCAAAGAATTTTCATAAACCTTATACTTCAAGGTTATGTTTTGACTGTACCAATAATGTGACTGAATACGAAGCTTGTATATTGGGTCTAGAAGATGCTATTGATCTCAGAATTAAATACCTCAAAGTATATGGAGACTCAGAGTTATACATATACCAAGTCAATGGTGAATGGGATGCTCGGCATCCTAAATTAATTCCATATCGGGATTATGTTTTGGAGCTAGCTACAGAATTTACAGAAATAACCTTCACTTATATCCCCCGAGAAGAAAATAAGATGGCACACGCCTTGGCAACTTTGTCAGCCATGTTCAAAGTAACTTAGCCTAATCACAAACCACACATCACGATCATACATTTCGAAGAACCTTCACATTGCCTCACAGTTGAAAAATGACCAGATAATAAACCTTGACTCTACAACATCAAGAAGTATTTAGAAAAGCAAGAATATCCAGAAAGTGCCTCAATAATAGACAAGTGAAATTTATGAAAGCTAGCTGCAAAGTTCTTCTTAAAAGGGGATGTATTGTACAAAAGAAACTACGATATGGTGTTACTCCGGTGCATGGAGAAACATGAAGCAGATACACTTGTGAGAGAGATCTACGAAGGAACCTTCAGGACTCATACAAATGGACATGCCATGGCTATAAAAATCTTGAGAGCAAGTTACTATTGGTTGGCGATGGAAGATGACTATTACCATTATACAAAGACATGCCATAAGTGCCAAATCTATGCTGACAAAGTGCATGTACCACCAACTCCATTGAATGTCCTAAGTTCACCATGGCCATTCTCAATGTGGGGAATTAATATGATAGGAATGATCGAACCAAAGGCTTTTAATGGACACCAATTCATACTAGTCTCCATTGACTATTTTAACAAGTGGGTAGAAGTTGCGTCTTATGCAAATGCCACAAAGCAAGTGGTCACTCGCTTCATCAAGAAAAATATCATATGCAAATATGGGGTTCCTAGCAAGATTATCAAAGACAATGAGTTCAATTTGAACAATAAAATGGTGAAGGAGTTATGCGATGATTTAAAGATTGAGCACCATAAGTCATTGCCTTACCGACCAAAGATGAACGGGGCCGTTGAAGCTGCCAATAAAAATATCAAAAAGATCATCCTGAAATTGGTGAAGACATATAAAGATTGGAATGGAATGCTTCCCTTTGCTCTACATGGCTATCGTACCTCAGTACGTACGTCGACAAGTGCAACTTCTTTCTCTCTTGTTTATGGCATGAAAGTTGTTCTCCCTGTTGAAGTAGAGATTCCATCACTACGAGTTCTAATGGAAACCAGGCTTGAAGAATTAGAATGGGTCCAAACGCGACTTGATTAGCTTAACCTCGTCGAAGAAAAACGCTTAACAGTTGTCGTGCCGCGAAAAAATACAGAGTCGCCACCGAACTTTATTTATCCCGAGAGAAGGGAAAATATCGAGAAAACTCCAAGAGGAATGGATAAGATGGTATTGCGGACAAGAGAAAGGGTACATAAGTTGATTACGCGAGGGGAAGGTATTAACACCCCTCATGTCCGTGGTACTCCACGGGATCCACTCTTGTTGTTCTAATAAAATGGTGTGTTATATTTAATGCTTACTTGCTAAGGGAATACATGCATGAATTGCTTAAGGAAAATGCAAGGAAAACAAAGATTTTAAATGGTTGTGCTCGCTTAGGCCCTGCAACCTAATGCATATGTATGCCTTTTAAGGAATCAGAGCATTGTAGTTCAGCTCAAAGATTTTTGGTTTGTTGTGTTTTTATTATGAACGATGTTAAGTTCGCATCTTATTTCAGCCCAACCTTTGGAGACCCGCGCATTGCATAGAACATAATTAACATGTTCTTTCAGAAAAATTTTAAAGAGGAAAGCCCTAAGGCAAAAGAGTTTGAATTTGTGATATGTTGATATTGTAGAAAGTGTTTAAGTATGATTAAGTGTTTTGGATTTGAATAAGAAAAAAGTTTTAGTTTTAAAAGATGCAATGCAAAATAGAAAAGGACTAAGGGGAGCTAATCCTAATGTTAGATTGCAATGGTGGTCCTAAAGTTTGGATTGAGAGAATTTTACTTAATTTTGGTCATGCTTGATTTTAAAGCCTACAGTCTAATTAATTAAATTTAATCAAGAGATTAAAATTTAACTAAAAATCCTAAGGGGACATGGTATCACAAGAAAACGCAAACAATTAAAATACAAGAAATGTTGTCTAATGTTTTTGGCATTTAGTCATGCGGAGAAAAATTGTACAATTCTAAACAATTAACAAAATCAATAAAAAAATAGAAAACGCAAATGAAATAAGCCATGGGGTGCAAGAAGGAAGCAAGAGGTGTGAATCAGCAAAAGCTAGGCCCAATCACAAAATAAGTCCATAACCAATTTTTTTTGTTATACATGTTTTCAGTAAAAAATGTGCAAATTGGACTTCAGGTGGATGGGATATGAATCTCTATATAGGTTTTTTTTTTTGTTTTACGTCCACTAAGCCTTTTTGGCATTAAAATGGAAATAAAGGTGAGGGAGTGTAGATATGAAGCTCTAGATAGGCCTTTTTGTTGTGCGCCCACTGAACTCGAATATGGATTTCAAACTTACAGAATCTTGCTCAAACCCATCATACGAACGCATTTTCAGAAATTTGAGATTTGCATAATCATCAGAAAAAATCAAACCAATGTCTAAGCTATGCCAGCAAACATTTCCCTTGAGAGAGGGACTCATACGCAACTATTTCTTCATGATCCTAGCAAAAAATAAAAACCTAGCATGATGCGTGCAAGAGAGATAAGAGCTCTAAGTGGTACCTAACGGAGAAGGTTCGTTGCCTCTTCAAAACTGCACAAGCAAAAAGATGTCTAAATCCCCATTTATAGTCAACCAAATTAATATCAGAGCATCTCATATCACAAATGTTTCATCAATATTCTATCACAAAGCTAGCAAACCACGTGAACATCCGATGAAACATAAAGCCTATTTTTGTCATGTTTATCAACCTTTTATGAACCTAACCAAAAGAAATCATTTAACCAGACACCTAAACTTCAAAACCAGCTTTCCAATCAATCATCATGTCAATACATTGATCAAAACAAAGAGAAATCGACCATAGCATCACAAAAAAACTAATTTTAACCACAATTAGACATTTAATCAAAGTAGTATCTAAACGAAATATCAAAAAAATCATGAAAAATTATATCTAAGTCAGGGACTAACATATTACTATCTACACAAAATTTCAGCCAAAAATCATGAAAGAAAGTATTAAAATTAATTGCACAAAACTAAAGAACAAAGTGAAGAATTAAAAGAAGCTAGGAGGTGCATTGGATCCATAGAGAGGGAGTGCAGATATGAAGCCCAGCGTGTATCCAGCCCATTTCAGACAACTCATGGCCATACTATCCATTGGTATTATTTTCATTCTCTGATTATTATTATTGAATTAAAGAGATACTAGTGAGGAAAAAATGGGTGCAACGCAGCGTTTAAACAGTTGTGCCCCTTCAACTTCCTTCATACTCAACCCTTCTTTTCTCTCGCTGAACTCTGAGACGGAAATCGCCGTCGCGCCGGTGAGTGCTCCCCGGAGGTGGCGGCCCGAAAACTCACGATACCACCACCACGTCCTCGATCTCCTCTTCTCCTTTCTCAAATTCGTTTTCTCATGTTTAACACCAAAACTCCCAAATCCACGATTCAAAATCCAAGACTTAAACCTAGAATCCAAATGAAAAGCGTTGGCGCATGATACAGAGCCAACAATATAGGGGAAGTGTTCATATAGCTCTGAGCTACAACGCGGTATCGAGAAACAATGAAAATGATGAAGATCCGACCAACAGTCAGTAGGTTAGTTGTATGTGTAGCTGGTATTCTCTTCGAAAAAGTTTTTTGCCTTGCATTTTTCTGTTTGTGCATAGGGTCTTGAGTATGAAGGTATGGCAATTGAAATTGAAAGAATGTTCTCAAGTGTTTCAAAGCACTCTTTCTTCCAAATTTTAAGTCCTCTTGATTAATTCTTTGCATAAAATTTCATAACCATGGTAGGAATTCCATAAGAGTTTTGCCAAAGCCATCAAGAAATGCTCTTGAAGTATTGACCTCCTCCGCATTTTTCCCTTTTGATTTTTCATATCCTTTTTCTTGAATTGCACCTTTGAAGGCCTTGTGAACAAAGTTGGAGGATGAAGGATACTTCAACAAACTTGAATTTTGAACCTTAATCCTTAAGTAATGGTGCATGCCTTGAACTCTGCAACTTGTTTTCTAAGAGGTCCTCATGAACCACTTCTTCAATCTTGCACTTCTTCGATCCTTTTTCACAAATTTGAACCAAATTTGAATTTAAGGAAACACTTGAATCCACTTCAAATCCAATCATCTTATATCCTTGATGAACTTCAAATTCTGATTCAAATTGATAAGCACAAATATATGAGATGTATCTCAATCCATGAACCACCAAGGAATCTTCATCCTTAGCTTCGGGTTTTTTCTCTCTCTTTAAAAGAGACCCAAGAAGGGATGATGACAGGTACGAGAAGATGATTTGATTCACAATCCGCGAAGAAAGTCCAAATGCACATTCCTTACTTCAAGAGATCCTTAATTAAAATCTTGATGAAGTACTAATCACCGCAAATGAAAACCCTAATGCACTTTGCTCTGGATGAACATTCGATGAAGAAAGAACCGGAACCAAAACCCTGATTCCACAGTCTAATGCCCAAATAAAGAACCCGGTGAAATCGATCTTATTTGATATATACACCTCAAATCATTGTGAAACATTAGCTTGCAAGGTTCTTGATCCCAATGTCAAGTTTAATGATGCATGATGTGTTAAATGACCTAATGGAGGGTATGTGGATGAAATGAGAAGTACAAGAAGAATGAGCTAGATAAAAGTAAAAGGATAAGACAAGTTTGGAGTATAACAACTTTATGCCACTGTCAGTTGTATCAAAAGCAGATGAAGAAAGCCTTTGATAAAAAGGTCTGTCCTCGAGTATTCAAAGAAAGGGATCTAGTTCTCAAGAAGGTTCTAATACCTCGTCTAGATTTACATGGTAAATGGACATCTAACTACGAAGGTTCATATGTGGTTAAAACACCATTCTCCGGATGAGCTCTTATCCTCACAATAATGGATGGGAAAGAACTACCGCATCCGCTGAATTCCCACACAGTAAAAAAATACTATGTATAAAAGGCCCGCTAAGTCGAAACCCTGAACGGGTGACTTAGGCAAAAAATGGCGTCCTAATGGATTGAAAACCCTAAAGGGAGATCCAGACAAAAATTAGGGATATATAAGCAAAATCATCATCCTGGTGGATTAAAAACCCGTAAGGGCGATCCAGGTAAAAGTTAGGGATTCTTATTCAAAACATGAACAAATCAATCGTGATTCAGGAATTCATCACTACGACAACTAAGTGGAAGGATTAATCTGAATCATTTTTCTAAGAAACAAGGAGATTGGAATTATCAAAGGACATTGGAGAAATAGAAGTATCAATTATCATTTTCATTGTCATTTTTAGTCTTTGTTAACCTTTTTGTAATTACCTCTTTTTTAGGAATTGCTACTTGTAATTTCACCTATTTAAAGACATTATCATTAATAAAACAATTTGTTCTTTGATCTTTTCAAAATTGTGTTTTCTCTTTTCTGACTTGTCTGCAAAATACTATGATTACTTCTTGTAAATACTGCGTCAAAATTATTTTGGGGATTTGACAATAAATAAGAGCATTTGACAAAACATCAAAAGGCACTTTGGTTAGAAAAACGTCAAAAGAAATCCACGTTCACACCTAAGCCTACGATACAATCATCAACATCTCATTGACACTATTCACCATAATATATCAAAATATGAATAAACTTGAGATACCACAACAAAGCAACATACAACGTTGGGAAGTCAGTGACTCAAAGAATCCAATGGTTTGAAAGGAGAAATTATCAAAGCATTTACTTGGGATTTACATACGAAACACATATTGATAACCTTGGGCATCATAAGCATATCGATAATTTCCATTGGGCATCATACATATACATATCACTTATGCATTGCATTTCAAACTTCATAGGTCAAGACTATCACGAGATATCTTAAGGCCTATCATCAGTTAAGTTACCTGTACAAATCAAGCATTCGTGTATTAGCATATTACAAGATACCTCGATTGAGAACAAACACAACACTTAGAGGCACTATGAACCAAGAATTACACTATGCGATATATCTGTGAATCATACCCATGACCTAGTTATTCAATTTTAACACTTCAAATTTCAACTTCAAACATCAAACCCACATAATTTATCCTCTAGGTTTTGATAAAATATGCAAGTCTATGCTATAACTTACTATGTTAGTCTCGAAGCGTTAGTAAGTTAAATCTTCAAACCCGTATCATTTACCCTCTAGGTTGTGGTAGATGTGCATAATTTATGATATAACTTATTACGCTGGTCTCAAAGCAGCAATAAGTTATATATTTTCAAAACCTGTGTCATTTATACCCTAGGTTGAGATAAACGTTGCAAATCTACGATGTAGCTTACCATGTTAGTCCTGGAGCGTTAGTAAGTCATTCTTCAAAAAGAAGAAAAAAACTCGTATTGTTTACCCCCCTAGGTTGTGGTAAATGTGAGAGAATCTGCAATATAGTTCATTGTGCCAGTCTCAAAGCCACAATGAATTACCGAGCTTGTGATTTTTATCCCTTAGGTTGTGATAAATATGAAAATATGCGATATAGCTTACTATGTTAGTCTAGAAGCTTTAGTAAGTTATTCTTTTCAAAACTCGTACTATCTACCCCCTAAGTTGTGATAGATGTACAAAAAACTACGATATAACTTGTTGCATCGATTTCGAAGCAGCAATAAATTATTTATTTTCAAACTCCGTGTTATTTACCCTCTAGGTTGTGGTAAATACACGAAATCTGCAATTACTTTTCTAGATGTTGACGAGTTATCTGCGTCATCACATTTAGGTCACTTATGTTCATGCTCTAGGCATTTTGAGTTAACTGCATCATCTTTTCCCGTTTACTTTTTGGTTTATCGTACAATTTATCTTTTTCAAAGTTTTGGTCAAAATTTGGGGTCTTCCATTATTTGATAACCCTCTGATTCAAATGTGCGAGACCTTCGTATTCTCGCACACTCAATCAAAAAGTAATTAAATATGGGCAGTTGTCTTACCCCAAATTTGCCTACATTGGAGTTAATAGTCAATTTACTAATTTTCATATTTTTATACTAATTTCTATTTTTATATTTTTGCATCTAATTTATCTTTTAAATTGATTTAATATAATGGGATTCAATTTTAGGGAGGGGGTATTTATTTCACACTTTTTATCAAATTAGGTTCATTATTTCAAATGGTCAAATGGCACAATGAGTTAGTTAGGAGGCCCATGTTGAGTTTAGTTTTAGTTAAAATTATTTTAATTGTTGGGTTGACCGAAGTTAACCTTTTCAATTATTTTGTTTTTAGTTAATTCATATAATTCTTATTATTCTCCATTATTATTAAATTATTACTATTTTTATCATTATTATTATTTGTTTAATGGTATTATTTGAATTATTCTTTTTTATTATTATTTAAAGTTATTTTGTTGACTAATTCATCAAAGGGTTGGAAACTCTAACGCAAGGCCACACCCATTTTTTTGGATCCCTAAGTCACCAAAAACCTAGAAACTAAATTACAAGCAAATCAAATCTGGAGAAAATATTTGATTTCATTGATTAAATGCGAATTTGTAAATAAAGTTGTCCAAATACATCAGAATCATTACAAACCCTAATTTATATTCTACACTAAATCAAATCAAATCCTAAAACTAATTACAATTGCCAATCAATCTAAATCGAAACTGCAAATCAAAAACAAATTTCCTAATTGAACTAATTTCTAAGCCTATATAAATTAAACCTTAAAACAGAAATTAGGACGAAAAAACAATTGGAGGAAGAAACCCTTGTTTTTGTGGATTCCCTACCCTCACCAAAGCTCTTCATCCAGGAAAAGGATTAGGGTTCATCATTAGAACCCTAACCCCTTTGAGCTAAGCCCCAATCGTTACCTACAAGCAAAAGAAAAAGAGGACCAAAAGGAGATTGGGGAAGGAATCAAAGGAAATTTTACGAGAAGTTTCACGACAAGGAAGTTAATCCAAGATCACTTAGCTTATTAGGGTTTATGATTTTTTGTTTGATTGTTGAATGATTGAACAATTTGGGGTTGAATTTGGATTTCTGGAAAAATTATAGGGTTAGGGTTCCTCACTAGAGTTAGGTTCATGTGTTTGGGGTTAGGGTTCTTCGTTTTAGCCTAGGGTTCTTAGGGTTGGGATATGAAGGTCTTAGGGTTCTTGGTTGTTTCCCAGAAACAGGTGGAGTCCCTGGAGAACTTACGCCTGAGACGGTGGCCTTAGCTAGGGTTCATGGTTTGGTATGAAGATTTGGGTTTAGGGATGGTGGCATGGATGAATATATGAAGACCCTGGTTGAAGATCAACCGGAGTTCTAGAGATAAGGGTGGTGTTGATTATGGTGTGCGGAGCCACAAGACAATGCCACCGGCCAGAGCGATTTCTGGTGGCTGGGTTTTTAGAGAGAGGTCAGAGCCTCTCTCTAGATTTTGTATAGTGAGAAGAAGGGAGATAGAGAGAGAAACAGAAAGAAAAAAAAAAGAAAATAGGGTGGAAAATGAATATATATTATCTCCCTTCGCTCTATAAAAATTTCCTAACAAAGTCCCTTAGTCAACATCCAACCAGAGCCATCCGTTTATCATACTCCAGATCATTGTCTTAGAATTAACTTCTGATGGCCACATGATCTGGATCAAACGTTTCAAACCCTACAACACACTATAACTCCATCTTCTCGCCCGCACTCTATCTAACAGATCAAACAAAATTGTTTCGGGTCAATCCCGTTCTATTAACACCCCTCAAATTTCTTCCTCAACGTAAAACCATATCCCCTATGCGCTATTGGACCAAAGTTTGTTCCTGGGCTCAAGCCTTTACTATTAACACATCCCAGTTTTACTTACCTGAATAGAAATACAACCCCTTTATTTTTTAAATAATTAATTAATTTAATTTATGTTTTTTAATTGATTTATTTATTTACTTAATCAATTTATTTCTTTCAATAATTTATTTATTTATTTAAACAATTTATTTATTTACACATT